ATTCAATCATTTGCAAATACCGAACATGCAATTAGTCCTTACTCTTGTTAGTCAAAGAGGTGAATACTTAAATTAGTATTCCCTGTAATCAGTAGAACATGGAAGTCCAGGGAAAACACATTGAATGTTAACACAAATCCAAGCTGAAAGCCGACTAAATATAAACAGAGAGCAGTTACAGTAGGATGGAGCCCTTGGTTAAGTTAGAACTTAGCTTTAGCTCTCTTGTTTTAAGTTGTATCTCTGGTTGTATAATCATTCATGAGCATCTCTCCTGTGTATTCTTGAAAAAAAGGCATGCATCACTGAATTGTAATAGACATGCTATAAGTGGGGGAGCACTTGCGAAAAGAAGTATTATAAAAAAGCCATGCATTATCGGATCGCATAACAAATGCTATAAGTGAGAACATTTGTGAAAAGAAGTATTGTGAATTACACACTTAAAACTTGTTGGCATATGTACAGTGAATTTTGTTAGGCTCAATTCAGCTACAGTTGTACTGGTTTTTTGTCTTCCTGAGACTTTATTGGTAGAGCACTGCTGCGTTTTGGTTTCATCTGCATATGCTTGGTTTTTACGTGGACTACTTAGCTGATTTTATTGTTTCTTTGACTTGCCTGCTACAATACTTACCTATTTGTTTTTTTCTTATATATCTTTTACTTAATATTCCTCATGCTGATTTTTTCTGCCTTTTCTCTATTTCTTATTTTCTAATTATGATTTGGGCTTAATTTCTTGATTCCTAATTGTAGCATAGGCCGAGACTGTGTTTTAACTGAGAAATGTGCAGCGACCGGTCCTTGTCACAAAGTCTATTGCAGTTGGTCCCTGAACGTAGAAGGGTAAAATGACATAATGTGCATTTGTGCTGTCTTCATCCAATTGTTGAGATTCACTAGGATTCTGAAGAGCAAAATGTTACTGTTTCTGGTTGATGGGTGACATTTCTCAATTTGTGCATTGTAAGTCATAACTCATGTATGAACTATTGACTATCAAGTAAAGTGTGTCGCCTTGTGGGTCTGAGCAAATTATTATCGTGCTCTCTGAATGGATTACATTTCTAAGTTCATGTTTGTTTACACCCATGTATTGACAGGACTATATGCGTTAGAACTTGAGATGATGCTTTAATTAGAAGTTTTGGGTTTTGGCTGTTTAATGCAAATGTAATAGACAACTACAGATCAGTTCAAGGCATGGTGACAATTGTCACAAGTAAATCTTGTGCAAGTTGTATAGTGTTTTTGACGAGCATGGGTTTAGCATGGCTAGGGTCTTGGTTTTGTGTTTGTATCTACGGTGACTTACTCTTAAGGTGTTGTGACATTTTGATCAAATATTTTAAATGATATATTTTTAGAATAATTTTTATTTTGTTAAATTCTATGTCATGAGATTCTATGTATACCCGTAGCAACGCATGGGCATTTAACTAGGTAAAATATTATCTTAGCCGTATGAAAGAAATGGATATAGGAGACTTCTTTCTGATATAAAATATTATTTTAGCCGTATCACGGAAATGTCTATATAGTAGAGTTTGTGAGCCTGCGGTGTCGTGCTCTTAGTGACTGTTTATTTCACAAACTTTGCTTTTTGATTAAATGTCAGTTTATTGTCTTACAGTATTGTTATCTTATCGTGTGATCTATGTGTTTTTAGTATAAAAGTTTAGTTGTCCCGTAGCAATGCACGGACATGCTACCTAGTATATATATGTTTCCGAACACTTTCAATAAAACCCTCTCGTAGAAGTATTTTAACAATGTTTTCGGTAATATTTGTGGATACTACTCGAACAGTTCCTTTTTTATTCATGTCTGCGTTTCTTATAGAGGTTAGTAAATCAGCAATAGTGTCCTTGCCCATAAGACTCTAATTCTAGGTTCCTCCTAATTTTTCTATAATCAACATGTTTTCCCTTTTCTTTAAATTTAGGATTTTAAAGCATATACGTGAGACACAATCTACTAATTTTTTCTTTGATCTATATCTCGTCTACTAGTATTTATAATACTTCAGGAGCTAATGAAACTATTTTAGTAAAATTCAATTCTCTTAATTCTTCGGCAACCGCGCCAAAAACTCGAGTTCCTTTTGGATTTCCTTTTTGATCAATGATAACTGCTGCATTGTCATCATAGCGTATTATTATACCGTCGTCGCCTTTGAATTCTTTACGTGTACGTACAATTACAGCTCGAATTACTTCGGATCTTTCTAGAGGCATTTGGGGCACTGCGTCTTTGATTACAGCAATAATAACATCACCAATACGAGCATATCGCTGATTACCAGCGGCTCCTATGACTCGAATACACATCAATTTTCGAGCTCCACTGTTATCTGCTACATTTAAAAGGGTCTGAGGTTGAATCATATTATTTTGATTTCCATTTGTTATTTCAATGCAAAAGGATGAAAGAAATATTGTCTTTCCAGAAAGAAAAACCAGGGGTTTTTTATCTTCAATACTCCTTTTTTGGGTTCTATATCTCTAATCGAAGAAATTGACTTCGTATGGGCATTTTACTGGCAGCTATAGAGATAGCTGCTCTAGCTACAGTTTCGGATACTCCGCTCATTTCATAAAGTATTCGACCTGGTTTAACAACGGCTACCCAATATTCGGGGGATCCCTTTCCCGAGCCCATACGTGTTTCTGTGGGTCTTATTGTAACCGGTTTGTCGGGAAATATACGCACCCATATTTTTCCACCACGACGTGCATATCGTGTCATTGCTCTTCGTCCTGCTTCTATCTGTCTCGCGGTGATCCAAGCGGGTTCAAGTACTTGAAGAGCATATCTACCAAAACAAATATGATTGCCTCGGCAGGATTTTCCATTCATTCTTCCTCTATGTTGTTTACGAAATCTAGTTCTTTTGGGGTTATAGTCGATGGTTCTTTCTTAGTTCCATCTCTACTACAAAACTGGACATGAGAGTTTCTTCTCATCCAGCTCCTCGCGAATGAAATGAGAAAGCGTGCGAATTTCATTTCTCTAATTCCATAATATTCCAAAATATTATAGAAAAATATTATAGATAGGTACACATCAATATATAATAGAAAAAGTTAGGTTTTTTTGATTTTGACTTTCTTAAAAAAGAAAAATAAATATATAGTCAAGAAAGAAGATCTAGAATATATCAAAATTCAATATTTATATAAAATGTAATCCTTCCTTTTTAGGAATCTCCTTTTTTTTATTCTTATTGAATCGTGGTAAAGTATTCTAATCCAATAAGGATTTCGCGGGCGAATATTTACTCTTTCCTGTCTTATTTGTTAATTTAGAACCTTATCAAATAAAGCAATTTTTTTGGTTTGTTCCGCCATCCCACCCAATGAAGTGTTAGGATTCTTTCCAATAAAATCCTATGTAGTCATAGGTTTTGTCGTTCCCACAGCTTCTCCTTTAATGGTTAGGTTTGAATCCTGCAATGGAGCTTCCAAAAAATTTATTTCCGAGTCAATTTTCTCAGTTTTATTAACCCGGCTGCTCTTTATTTATTGCTTTATATTTGTTGTTTCAAAAGTAAAGTTACGATTTCGAATTCTCTCTTTTTTTTAGAATTTTATTATATTGATGCTTTATCACATTGCCTTTTTTTATGATGTAATTCATAGACCATACACATGGGAATCCTATATCTTTCTTATTCTTCTTCCTTCTATCTATCATCCCTCCTTTTATCCACATCCCTTTAGTTTTGCTTCACAGCCTAGAAGCGTGGATATTGGCAGGAATTAATTGAGACTTTAGCATGGGCTCATGAACGCACACCTTTGGCTAATTTAATTCGCTGGAGAGATAAGCCCGTGGCTCTTTCCATTGTGCAAGCAAGATTGGTCGGATTAGCCCACTTTTCCGTGGGTTATATATTCACTTATGCAGCTTTCTTGATTGCCTCAACATCAGGCAAGTTTGGTTAATTTAGTTATTTTTTTTTGTACTGTATCAGAACCCAGTTCATTACTCTTGATGGAGAGGGAGGATCCGCCTTTTTAGATTTTTTCTATTTATTTTTCTATCTAGGATTAGAACCATATACTTGGTAATAAGAGGAACGGCACATTATGGCAAAAAAAAGTTTGATTCAGAGGGAGAAGAAGCGGCATAAATTAGAACAAAAATATCATTTGATTCGTCGATCCTCAAAAAAAAAGATAAGAAGCAAAGTTTCCCCTTTGAGTTTGAGCGAAAAAACAAAAATGCAAGAAAAATTGCAATCCCTACCACGTAATAGTGCACCTACACGCCTTCATCGACGTTGTTTTTTAACCGGAAGACCTAGAGCTAACTATCGAGACTTTGGGCTATCTGGACACATACTTCGAGAAATGGTTTATGCATGTTTGTTACCGGGTGCAACAAGATCCAGTTGGTAAGGATAAAATACCCTTTCTTTCATATTTGTATGGTTTTCTCGAATTGATGATCGTAGAAGAGCCCTCTTTACCATTCTGTATAAGTGGACTATTCTATTTGTATAGATATGGTAGAGGGGCCTATCCAATCCCCTTTTATCCACCAGTTCCCCGCTAAGAAGGTAGAGCAGTTTGGTAGCTCACAAAGCTCATAAGCTTGGGGTTACGGGTTCGATACTGACTACCTGCTCCATATTCCTTCTTTATGATATATGTATCATCCATTTGTATATGGTATATGGATTTGTTTTTCTTTCCTAAAAGAGTTTCGGTCTAACAGTTTTTTATTATTTCTCTTGTTCCGAGAAAGCAAAATAAAAAAGAAAGAATAAAATAATAAAGAGAAGCGTCCATTGTCTAATGGATAGGACAGAGGTCTTCTAAACCTTTGGTATAGGTTCAAATCCTATTGGACGCAATCTTTTTTCTATCTATTCTTTAAATAACTATACTAAAAACTAAAAAAAAAATTTGCATGATTCAAATGAAAAATCTTTCTCAACGATTCCTCTTCTACTAACACGAGTTATACTAATAAGAGTAGACATGCTATATTTATGTTTGTTCCTGAAGGGAAAACCGTTCAAGCTGTTCCTGAATAGCTTCCTTCAAAAGGGTTTCTGCTTGCTCGGTGAATGTCTTACTAGAAGATATAATTTCTTGGAATTGAGGTTTAGTATCTTTTAGGTGTTTACGTAACTCATCCAGAAATTTCTTTACCTGTTCAATTTCTAACGAATCAAGATATCCTCTCGTTCCGGTATAAATAGTAGCTACCTGCTCTTCCACTGGGAGAGGGTTTGATTGGGATTGTTTAAGCAATTCCCGTAATCGTCGACCCCTTGCCAATTGATTCTGACTTGTTTTATCCAGAGCAGAGGCGAATTGTGCAAAGGCTTGTAATTCTGCGAATTGAGCTAGTTCCAATTTTGATTTGCCAGCTACTTGTTTCATGGCTTTAATTTGAGCTGCGGATCCCACTCTGGAAACTGAAATACCCACATTAATAGCAGGTCGAATTCCGGCATTGAATAGATCCGCGGATAAGAATATTTGTCCATCTGTAATTGAGATTACATTAGTAGGAATATAGGCGGAAACGTCTCCAGATTGAGTCTCCACTATTGGTAAAGCGGTCATACTCCCTTCACCTAAAAGAGAATTTAATTTAGCGGCTCTTTCTAAAAGGCGTGAATGCAAATAAAAAACATCCGCTGGATAAGCTTCGCGGCCGGGAATATATATATATAGACACACACTATATTTTAGCTTATTTTTAGTTAGGCAAAAAAAAAATTAGTATTTGGTATCAAACAGAGAGACCTGCATCTTTGCCACGCAAAACGGGCATAAAACCATGGTCCAGTTATAAGGCAGCCCGGCGGCCCGCGCAAATTGAGTGCGAGTCCTCAAATCAGTCGAAACGGCTTTCGGATCTTGACGCACGACAACCGCCCCTGTCGTCATCCGCAATCCAAACCGCCGCGCCGCAGCCCGCAGCCCACACAACAGCAGCCTCCCGTAGTTCCGTCCGAAATCCCCCTTCTCGAGTCCATCTCCATCTCATCCCCACGTCCCACCCCAATACATCCAGCCGGCGCCATCAGCCCGGGCGGCGCGCACGCGAGGCCGACCATCGAACCCTAGTCGCCGGCCGAGCCGCTCGCCCGCCGCGCCTCGCGGGATCGCTCGGCCCCCGCCGCGCGGCCGCTCTGCGTCGACCCTCTCAGAGTCTCCGTCCGACACCGCTTGGATCCGGTAAGCCTTCCTTCCCGTCCCCCACTCCCTTCCTCGAATTGACGATGGCGCCTGGCTGTGTGATCCTTGTAGTCTAGGCCTGCGTGTCTGCTTTCGGTCTAGGGTCGCGGAGGCAGGGGAATCGATTGTGCCAGGTTGAACTGGTGCGTTCCACGCGGTTGGCGTTGGTGGTGCTTTCTCGTAGTCAAATCTCTGTGCCTTGGTTTTGGCATGGTGATTACCTTCCTCGGATGGTGGAATTTTACAGAATAGGTTCCTCCTGTTTCGTCTGGTTCTATGTGTCATGTTCACTGATTGTTGATCCAACTGGGATATTGTGGCTCTTCCAGAGCCATGGCACCTGCGTTTTTTTGTGAATCAACTTGTTTCTGTTGACATTTTGTGATTGTTTATTCAATCTTAAGTTGCGTAGGCGGTAGGTCTAGAATGAATAACTATGCCTGTTTATCTCATTGTCTGTATCACTTATTAGTTCTTCAGTCTTGGCAAGCGTGTTTTGTCATGCACTTGTTGGCACCACCAAATGTTGTCTATGGCAAGAAGGGGCTAGTTTTTTAGGCTAAAAGAGCTATCGTGTGGGCAATGATTAACTAGAAGCTTGCAGGTGGCGTCTGGTCTTGCTGTTGTTATAATTAGGTTAGTTGGGTTTGCTCCCAAACTGCAATAGGTTTCCTTTCTGAACATAGTTGTTTAGATTTGGACAGAATGGATTTCTGGCTGTTTGCTTCAGTTTCGTTTCTTAGCAAACTTCATCAAATATGGTTGTCATGTATGAGAGTAGTTTCATTCAGGTCATGGTTGTATCGGTACGGAAAATTACTGTAGCTTGTTTTGCTCATAAAAAGAGCCTAATGTTGTCTTATTGCAACTTTTTGGTTGGAAGTAGTAGATGTCTTTATCTTATCTGTCTGGGGCTTAATATACTTTATTTAACCTCTCACAAGCTTGAATTTAGTGGTGCTCAAATTGGGACTTCATATACTTTATTGAACTTCTCACAGCTTGAATTTATTGCTACCTTTGTAGTTTCTGCTATGAATTAGGTTTTCTTCTTATTCTAATTATACTATGTATTATTCATATAGAATAGAGATGGAATCACCGCCCCTCACAGCTGAAGCGATTGCTTTTACCGAGAAAAAGATGGACATGACTTTGGGTAATGCTATTTGACCAAATTTCTTTTTGTTTAGTGATGCTAACAATTGATGGTTCAGTGTTGATTTAACTCATGTATTGTTTCTGTGTTTATTCAGAGGATATAATCAAGATGTCAAAGAAAAAGAATCCTGGAGGCAAGAAACCTCCCAGGCAGCCGGTAAACATTTTAGCTTGGTGTACTCAATTTTGCATTTGTGAACTCCCTGTGGAAGTTTGTTGATTATATACCCTCCATTTCATTATAACAGATCAAAAAGCGCCCATTCCAGAATGGCAACTCTAATAAAGGGAATGGCAAGGTTCAACGGTTTATGGAATCTAGATCAACCATTAGACAAGTATGTTGCAATGACATCTAAATTGTCTTTTTGCATCTTGTGTCGTGTTAAGTTTCTAATGTTCTCTTTGTGCTTAGGGTGTTCTTGCACAGAGAAGGTCAAATCTTGGTGGAAGTCAGTTCCCTGCTACAAAGCAGGCTGCGAAGAAGGCTGCTGCTATGCCAATACGCAGCGGGGCTGTCCATTGGAACAAGCCAAGGTATTAATCAATCACTATGTGTTTTTTCTCATTCCTTTTCTAGCCATGTTTTCATCTCAATGAATTGTTATGGACAGGTAAACAATGGTTCTCTTATTGCTTATGAGAAAGTTTACTGCATTCAAGGGGTTGTTAAATTTATTGAGTCATGCACCTTGGGTTATATTGGCTGAGAATGATTGTGATGCTGGTGTTTGCATGGAACTGACTTAATTTCTCTGGTTATACACACGCAAGTTTATAAAGAACAATCAACCTCATATTCTTGGGGCACAAGGCCTGTTTTCTTGGTTGAACTGCTACAAATATATGGTGAATATAACATATGAGCCTTAAAGCTTCATTGAAAGTTATGGCCTTTTCCTTTATTCTGGTTGAGCTGGTCAAATTTGTGAACCTGCTGGAACACCCTGGATATGTATCTGCTGTTGCCTGACATTTTTCTATGAAAATTCACTATTCATGGTGTAATCTATAACTGCTGGATGAGTGCTATTTTTGGACACCAGCATTAACTGTCTGTGAGGGTTACATTAGTGTTATTTGTCAACTATGGTAGGAAGGACTGAAGGAGATGTGATAATGGCTAGCATCTCATGCCACTGGTGATTGATCATCCAGATACAGGGATGTTACATGCCTGAGTTTGAATTGGTTTTGACTAATGACTACTGGCTCCTTGGCAGTGCTCACTGTTTACTTGTTTGAATGATGAATGCAGTATGAATCTAGGGTAGTGCTGCTAACTGGACAATTGTTGTATGCCTCCAAGGGAGTATATTTTGCTACTGCCTCCTATTCAAGTTGGCTGTATCCATAACAGCATGCCAGTTTTGAGCATTCTATCATAAAGTGCTATATGCTCCCCGTTGTTCACTGGTTCCCACAGATAATGTGGCCTGCGTTTCTACTGGATAAGAGTAAATCATGGTATCTTACGATTTATCTCAGTATGCTGAGCTGCATGGATGCTATCTTTTCAAGGTCAAGTGTTGGAATTTATTTTCATGATTCCTTATGTGACCTTGTTGGTTCTGGATCAGTGGTCACCAATTACATGACTTGAGTTTATCAGCCCAATCAATCAATAAGTTGTCTCAACTTGGGACATTGTTGAACCATGTGTGTTGAAATTTGGGTGGAAGTAAACAGTGTAGACTCTAGAATGTTGAGGGCCTTGGAAACCAAGAGGATGCACTAGATATTTTCAGTGACCACTTTATCATTTCTGTTTGATTTTATTTCAAAGCATGGTATGTACTCCCTGACTTCCCTTGAGAATTGAGAATTGTATCCTTGTTTTCGATGGGGTATGGTGAGTTTGCTCAGAAAACAATATGGCTCTTGGTTCTCCGTTGCTTATGATTCTTGGTACTTGAGCATTCCTGCTCATGTGAGATACTAATGTTTTGATTTTGATACAGTGCAAGTACCTTAGTGCAGAGGAGGCCTGTAGGTGATGCTTTTCAGAATGCCAAGGTATGGACTATGTCAAATGTTGACCTCAATGCAGAGTAAATAAGATAAACTGGCTGGAAAAGTAAATTGTTTTCCCAATGTGTATCTGATGCATAATAATCAACTTAAGATGTGATGGCGATCTTTTGGTCTATCAATTTAACGACTTCTCTTGGAAAACCATTGCTATTGTAATTTATATTTTGTGTACTTCTTTCTTGATATGTTTTAATGTATAGTTTTCTCACATAATCCATCTTTTTCTGGTATCCCCATGTCAGTTTATAACCATCCATATAGTTTCAGGACTGTGATGAGTGCTGTACTTGGGTATTTATTTTTAGAAGTTGTGTGATCAATGTTTTAAAAAACGTTATTAACCTTCGTTTAATCCCGTTTAAACGCTAAACTTTGGCCCAACGTTGCGTTTAGGGGGTAAACGCTCAATTAAACTTTGACCTCAATTAAACACATGTCAATCACTGAACTGATGAATTGGATTGGGGATTTATTTTAGGGTTAAGATTGAATGTGTATTGCTCCTTAGTCCTTAGGATGCGTTGATCTATTGGTCCTTACTATGCTACTTTTGTTCTTGGATTGGGATTAGGATGTCGACTTCCGAAGCTGCAGCTGCTGCTGGTACTGCAGCACCGGCTCCAGAAGCCGCCGATGTTGCCAACCACCTAAAGAGGAAATCATCTGATATAGGCTGGGAGTGGGGGCTAATCTGTGATCACTGTTATTACTTCAAGTTGTGTTATTAGTACTGATTTTGCTCTCAGAATCACAAAAATAAAAAAAACCAAAAACGTTTAATCACGTTTAATCTCGTTTAAACTTCCAAAACTCTAAACTTTAGGCTAGCGCATGCCTAGCGTCTAGCGTTTTTTAAAACATTGTGTGTGATACATGAAACTGACTTGTATTTGTTTAATTAATATATTTGTTGAATTATTCATGTCCTGTAGTTTTTTTTGTTGCTGCTGATCACTACGATACGCCCTTAATCTATTTGTAGGTCAAGGAGTCGCAGAACCAGGCAGCACCAAGGACGATGGATGCACTCTTTGCACAGATGAAGGCCCAACGCATGAGGACCGTACCACAGCAGCAGGCAAATCCTGCCCCTGGGCGTCATTTCAACCAGCAGCGACGTGTTCAGCAGCAGCAGAGGCGAGGTAGAGGATATGGTGGCCGTAATGTTGGGAACCAATGAATTCAAC